TCTTCTTGTTTATTTTCTCTTTCTACTTGTTTCTTTTCTTTTTCCTCCAACAACTGCTGTAATTTCTCTTCTTGTTTATTTTGCTGTTCGAGCTACCACTTTTGCAGGTTTTCTTGCAACTGCTGTTGTCTCTCTTCTTGTTTCTTTTCCCATTCTTCTTGTTTCTTTTGTTGTTCTTGTATTGCTGCCATCAAATCTACTAAGTTGTAGTTTGATTTGCCACTTCTCGTTTCCATTTTTTTTTCTTTTCTGTCCCACTCTCTGACACCAATTTGTTACGTATCTGCTTGTTCGTTTGTTAATTTTCTGTAAAATTTTTTCCGAAGAAACTTTAGCAATACAAGTCCTTTCTTAAATAAAACTAGTTTAATCTTTCTCAATACAACTTTGCAATACACTTAATTTCCACAGTCACGCTATAACTTAAACAAAAGCTATAATTCACAACGAACGATTCATGCGCTTGAATCAATTGTCCGTCTCTATCTCTGTCTGCAACTCAATTCCATTGTTGCTGTCACTTCTTGGCGGTCTTATATACAAGAATACCGCACATCTAGTAAATACTCGACCATTCACGAACCTTCGAGAAAATCATGACGTGTTACTAGCGTCACGTGACTTCCGCTGTCGTAACACTATTATATCATTTCTCTAACAATATAGTGATACCACTACAAAACTGAATAAAAAAGTATTAAAATACCTAAAAACTTTACTTACAAAGGAAGCTCATGTAGGTTGGAACTGTCACATTTGACAAAGACAGCCAACTTTGACAGGTTAACAGTATCTTGCTCACTCAGGACATCAACCTTGCTCTCTTGTAACTCCGTTTGTAGTTTATTAGTCAAAACATTCCTTCCTTTATACTGTTCATCAGATGGTTCCTTTTCCTGTTTTTAAAACACTGTATTAATATATTCCCATATCAATAAATTCAATATGCTTAAACTATTCACTACATAAGTAATTACAAAGATGTCTGAATTTATTTGAAATCTTTCCAGTGTATCATTACATTACTGAACAAAAAATGTTGAGATTACTTAAATGCTTCTATTTATCAGGTTTAGTGTGTCACTTTGTGCAACATGTTTCAAATATTTATTTCACAAAACCTCCACAAGATATATTCCCTTTTAAGATAATATTTTTAGCTTTTAATTAAAGTTTTCTTTGATACACATAATAGAATTTTTTCTATTAAAATCTTTTAAATAATGTTCTTTTTTCACATGACTTTAAAGTCTAACTCACGGTGCATTCTTCTCGAGGCTGGAGAGAAATAAAATCCATAGCCACATGTTCCAGAATTGGTTGCAACTCCAATCCTGTGTCTTTTCCCATTACTCCAGTTCCACTTTGTATGCTATTTCTTGCAACCAGTCGTTTCACTTTTCGATAGTGATCATACAGTGGATGAACCACTTCTCTATTCTGTACAAGTGAAGGCCTTCCATGGATGCTCTCAATCTTGAGCAAAGCTTTCTGAATGTCAACTTTTTCTTCCTTAACTTGCTCATTAGTCATATTCTAGACAACAAATAAATAAACTTATGATTATTTTAAAACCTGTCCATAAAAAGAAATAGTTGCACACACACACACACACAAATAGCAAAAAAGAGAATTGAACTCAGTCTCTTAGAATTAAAACTTCTACTTTTTTTCAGGTATAGTAGATCTGTCAGTTGATAATAATAATGAAAACATACCCCACATTGTTATAGAGAAAAAAAACCTACTGTGAAAAGATTAGAACAAGAGAAATTCTGTCTTTTTCAAAGTAAAGTCTAAAAAGAAACTATTAACTACCTCTAGTTCGTGAGGCCTTTCAACTAATTGCCTCTTTCCTGAAAGGCTTGTAAATGCTTTTTCCAAAGAGTCTTCCACTGTAGACTCAATCAGTGTATGTTCACACACTGAAGTGCCAAATCCTATCTTCTTATCATCAATTTCCTCTTCTTCAAATACTGGAGCTTTTGTTTTCATAGGAAATGTATAACCTTCAAAATGGAGTCCTTCTTTCAAATCTAATAATATTAAAAGTTGTTTATTTCATCTAAAAGTACTTGAAAAGTAATTTGTATTACAATGGTGGCAGAAAAATTTGTATCATGGATTGAGGTTTTAAGATTAGTAGTTTATCTTTTTTTTTTTTACCACATACTAAACGAGTCCACTAATCAATGAATTATAATAGGCTATTTATAATCAAAGTGTTTCTAGTAACAAGCTGCACAGCTTCTAACAAAGATTCTTCCTGATCTTAAAAGACAACCAGTTGGCTTTATACTGTAATACAGTATCTTGAAACTTCAAAGCATAGGTTTCATTGACTGCTGCAAACTTGTAAAAATTCCATTTTGGTTAAATCACATATAATCAGCTATGCTGTTTCCTTTGTACTTTGATAAATGGAAACACATTCTCACTACTTATCTGCTATACAAATGTTTAGTGGGTATGTGCATATATACAGCATTTATATATAAACATATTTTTATACAACCTGAGGTACATAACTGTAAAGACTAATAATTAAAGAGTATAATTATGGGAGTGTAAATAAAATCACCACCAGAACTGAAAACCTGATCTTTGCTATCACCAACCTAGCTTTAGATGGGATGACGAAATGAGTATTACTCAAGTTGGCCTGGCATGGCCAGGTGGTTAGGCCACTCGATTCGCAATCTGAGGGTTGCGGGTTTGAATCTCCGTCCCACCAAACATGCTTGCCCTTTTAGCCGTGGGGGTGTTATAATGTGACGGTCAATCCCACTAGTCGTTGGTAAAAGTGTAGCCCAAGAGTTGGCAGTGGGTGGTGATTATTAGCTGCCTTCCCTCTAGTTTTACACTGCTAAATTAGGGACGGCTAGTGCTGATAGCCCTTGTGTAGCTTTGCGTGAAATTCAAAAACAAAGAATTACTCAAGTTGCAGTTGTCATAATATAAAGTTCTGTTATCTCACTATACTTCAAGTACAAAGTATTTAAGTTTGAATACACTTTAAATACAGACTTTTACAATAAAGTGATGTTCTTAATGAAATTCACCATGTGTGAGAGAAAGTTAGAGAAGATATAATAAATTTAATCTTACAATATTGGCAATAAACCTAAGTCATCTAAGAATTAAACATACTTTCAAAATCTTTGCTGGCAATTAAGTATTTCCACAATAAGACATTAAGAACTATAGATATAAATATTTGCTGTGAGGTTCATTCTATATTTGCAATCAAATGAAACACTTACATTTCAGTTCTTTTCTTGCTTTATTTATCTCTTGCACAAGTTTTTTTACTTCTGAATACTTCATCTTCTCTGCTTGAGATGGCTATAAACAGTTAAATTTATTTTACACAGACCACAATAAAATGTCTAATTAGGTATCATCATCCTTAAATTGCTTAATATTTCAGATCTGGTAATATTATTATGCAGCTAAAATAATAATAATAATGAAATGATCGTTACTAGTACAATTCTCGAACTTAATACTTTTATAGTACTCTTTGAATGATAAATACTGACACAAAGGAATATAATAGATGCTTAAGCAATACATGTTTAGCATCTATTAAAAACATTCTATTCAACTGCTGAATATATTTTTATATGATTAGAGGACAGCTTTAACATGAACATGATAAAAGATTACTCAAAACAGCTAATTACATTTAAAAACTTGTTGGAAGTGTTTGCAACTGTAAAATGATTCATATTGTGCATCAATTATTTGTAAACAATCTGATTCCTAACTGCTGTTGGACTTATCTTTTACTGTATGATTTTTTTCACCATTTTTGAAAATTAGTTTTTGTAAACTTGAAAACTCTTTCATGTGATTATCAAAAATGGCAAATATAATTAAGCAGAAATGCTATACATTGTGAAATGGAGTAGATTAATGTTAAATTACACAAGAAAAGTTATTTGCCTTGAAAATATGTCATCCTGGATAATTATGTAAACAAACAGTAAATTAAATATATAAAAAGAAACGTGGTATAACACATCTGTAAATCTTACCCTGAAACCATGTTCAGATTCAAATATCTCTTCAAAATGTCGTATTTTCTTTTTCAACACTAAACAAATAGAAACAGCTTTTTCTTATCTGTGGTTATATTAAAATACTTGCAATGTCTTGATTTTTACATACAGAATTTCATGGTTATATAACCTTTATAATTTTCAATTATACTTACTAACATACATTAGATATTATTTCAACAAAGAAAAATCTTTAGTCAACTTGTGTCTTGTTTCATTACATAAAAATATGTAAGTATAATCATTCACGTAAGATTTATAAGTACAACTTACTGTGAATTTTTTTGTTTAAATGTTTCATAGTCATCATTTCTTCTTCAAACTTGAGAGACCTGAAAATTAAAGAATCCTTTTCAATGTCTCTTATCATATGAATGTATAATAAGACCTAAAATAATTTTTATATTTACAACCAGAAATTAAAGATGTTGAAAATTCCATTATACTATAAAAGTTAATATTTTGTCAAATTTCTGTCATAGTTCCCTAAACTTCTAAAATAATATAGTAAAATTGGAAAATGATATAAGTATTTTTTTACTTATTTACCTTAAAATACTTACAAAGACAAACAGACATTAAATTTCATATAATGAATTTGCAGACAAACTAGTTAGACAGTACCATTTCTGATCCATTTTAATAATTTAAGTAATATACAAAAGATAGGCATTTATTGGTTAACTAGTTCCATATCTCATTTCACCTTTTACTACTTGTCAAAGTCATTATCTAATTTAAGCAAAAGTAGTTAAATATGTACCTTTTTTTGAATAATTCTTGGTCGTTAGGCGGTGAAGGAGGGAAAATAGGGTCCAAATCAAGACTGATAAAAAAAAGAGAAAGAGTATATTAATAAGTGCTTTAAGTTATACAGTACCAATAGAAGGAAAAACAACAATAGCTAAAAAAAAAGTTTTCCATAATTCCAATTTTCTAATATTTCTATGATTATTTATGCGATAGAAATGTAAATAAAAGATAACATTTCCAACAGAACGATAGGTTATTTATGTTTCTACCTACTTTTCTTTCCGAAGATAGTGAAAAGATGGAGAAAGCTGAGCATCTTCATAACCACGACTTACTGGGGGCCAACTATAACAATGTTCTGATAGAACTGGCTCTATGAAAAAATAATAAAACATCAGGTTTTGACAAGTAATTAAAGAAAAGTTTTATGTACATTTTCATGCTTCAATAATCACTGTATAGTTCATTAAAATCATAAGAAATTACAGCAGGGAGTCAATTATCCAAATATTAGAACCAATACTAATTTGTGCTAGCAATTTGTATCCATAATTGAACATGTATTAATAACAACTATACTTTTAATAATTTATGGAGTAAACTTATACTAAAGTACTTAGTACACGAGTACTCACTGATGATATTGCTTGCAACCTACTCTTTGACATTACGAATATAAAATTGCAAATCATGAAAATAATGCAATTCAGTAAAACATTTAACACCGACAATTAAGGTGAAGAAATACTGTACTGTAATTGCAAGACTTTGAAATTCAAAGAATAAAATTCAGTACAATTTTGACACCTTAAAGAACTACGAATTACAAAACATCAAAAGTTCATGAAAATGTTACTACAGTACTTTAGTGTTTGCTGATGAGGCATTGAAAATAATAAAGTAAAAGTTATTTCACTCCAGGGTTCCATCAACAAAAAATATCTGAATGCTTCTATTTTGTCACTGTTTCATTTTAACTCACTCACTGTTGCTTGTCCAAGCCTGAATTCAAGAGCCAGTTTAGAGACAGACTCTTCAATTTTTAGTTCTTTTTTTACTATTTCCAAGTTCTTATTAAAAGCCAATACAGTTCTCTTTCTTTTATTTCTTTTAGTCACCTTCTTTATCACATGCTTAACTTTCTTGGTCTTGGTAAGTAAAATTGTGTATGTCATGACATTTTAAAAAGCTAAACATTCAAAATTTAGGTAAACTACTTTTTTATGTATTCTGATGCATTGAATTTTAATATTATATAAGTTTGATTTCTTAATTTCAAAAGGAAATACTGAAATAAGTTCGCCATCTTCACTTGTGTGTATTAAAGGACATTTGTTCGCTTAAATTTGTCCATTTTTAATTTTTTATCATTCCTGTACGATGTCCTGAGTTCAACATAAATTATACATTTATAGAAGGTTAATATACTTTAAATAATTCATCATATGATAAAAGGTGCATTCAGTTGGTTAGACAACACAGTTGATCGATGATCATGTAACTGACTCTATTGTATAAACAACACAATCCATATTAAAATAATTAAGCACTTACAGTATGGTGACAGGGGTTCAACTGTTGTCATGGTTAGTAGCCCATACAATAGTCTAAGTCTAATTATTGATTTTTGAATAATATAAAAACTAGATAGGTAACTAACCATGACAACGATAACAAAATTATATAATAAACCATTAACGTATGCAAAATTCTCAAACTGAGCTAGAATCTCTGCAATAATCTTGCTTTCAGTATCTCAGCAATATATTGCTATGACTAGGTAGAGCTTGATTAATTTTTATCACTTTTATTTTGATCTATAATAAACGTATAAAGCCACGGTGCTAGGCTAAGAAAGTTATTGTTAATTTCAAGCATTATGGGATATGTTTTGAAATGATCCCTTGCAGTTTGAAGCATTTTTTAGGAAATAGTATCCATCACATAGGTAAGTATCAGTCAAGTGCTGAAGAATTGGAGTCATTGAACAAGTTCTTATTTGTTTAACTACTTCAGTGGGCTTGCACCCATAGCTCTAAATGTGTCCAAACACCATGTGTTTTTGCACCTCTCTCCTTTATATGTTTTTTAATGTCTTGAGTAAACTCCTATGTGGTATTTATATTTACATCACATGCAAGTTTTATAACAACTCAGTTTAGCTAGGATATATATATATATATATATATATATATATATATATATGTAAAACCATCAAATTCCTCAGCTTCATTTCTATGTATTATGTTTGTGTGCTTCCCTCCTTCAAATGATTTCATTCGTAGGCCTTAACAAAGAATTTGGAGGGTTTCATGACTGTTATCTTCTGGAAAAATAAAAGAACCTTTTGACATGTATCAATGTTTTTAATTTTGGAAGCAAAATAATTTTGACATGTTGAAAAAATGAACTAAAAACAAAGAGAAACAACACTGACCTTATTACTAAAACCAGAAAACATCAGTTCTAATTAGGGATGCACAGGTACCCAGCCAGGTATTCGGCCCCGGCTGGGTATTGGGCTTCCTGGTAATACTTGGCTTCGGTCGAGTGTCGAAGTTAAAAACAGCCGAATCCAGGTAACTTAAAATAGCATCTAAGCCTTAATCTTTGTGGCAATTTACGAAGTACTGAAAGCTGAAAGTTACAGTCAATAATTGACTTAGTTAAGAAAAAAAACGTGTTCTGAGCAACAAAGACTGACCGCCCAGTGAAAGTCGGGAATTCAGAGAACAATATGGGTTAATAACAGGCATGGCTTGAGAAGTGGATTTCTAGAGATGGTGAAGGTTTTAAGAACAGTAGGGATTAGGGTTTGAGAAGTTGGGACTAGGCATTGAAAGTTGAAAGTAAAACTTGAATGTTCTGTTGGTGATTATTTGGTTAAATGTAATAAACATCAATTTTGGTTTTGATTCCAATTTCTGTGTATATTGTTTATTTATTAATTTGGGGGGGGGGGAGGAGAACCCGGTCTCGGTTGACACCCAGCCCCTGTCGAAGTTTATTGACTGGGTACTCTGACCCGGTATTCAACCAAATTTTACTGCCCATGCATCCCTAGTTCTAATACCCAACTTTGACATCAGGTCTAATACTCTAGGTTTCAGACATGTTTCAGTACTCAATGTTTTCACTTTACAGTTTCATTTAGCTATTATTATATTTGCAAAATCAATCACAACTGTATATGTATGCATCATACGAAGCTTTAAGATGTTAAACAGGCCAATCTTGAAATTGTGTGAATGTTTTGAGCTCAATACTTGTTCTGAAATGGAATGTATAATAAATTTGTTGAAAATTATAACTTATGATAATTAATGTTTTTCAAACAGCAATTAGATTTGTTCAATAACAAATGTATATTAAACCAAGTGAATATAAAGTTATATAAAAATTACAGAAAGCTGTGAATAATAATAACTTCATACTTTAATTACAGATTTTCTTAAAACTGAACTGCTTTCAGAAAACAGAAAAATATTTTTTTCATTGTTAATTAACTACAAAAGTATAAATATCAGGTTTCAAGCTTTTGGTTCTTACCAGAACCTTCTTCAGGATAATCTAACAATAGAAAAATCCAAATTTAAATCTTAGATAAAAAAAGACACCACCATGCCATGCTTAAGTCCCCAAAGAATGATAGCAGTCTACACATTAAAAATAGATGCTTCAAGTTGTAGCTAAACTATTTACACACATTAGTTCTGGGACCAACTTTTTCTTTTACTACTAGTATGTAGATATACATTGAATAGTAATTATAAGGTTGGACTGTAAAATAATGTAGTCCCACCCTATTTATGTCTATGTGTTTCCTTCACACCATTAAACCTATGCATAAATAAGGGTCTCATCTTGGCTATTACATAGATCTTTTCAAAACAAATTTTTCCTGTAGTTATAAATTGGTTTTTATATCTTTACATTGTGTTCAATACACTTCAATTTGCATTTCACACATTAAATAAAGGAAGATACCAAAACGCTTTTGCAATGAATGTACAACAACACATTAAAAACTGCAACAACTTCTATATAACTTTACAATTATGTATTAGTAATTAACAAGGATAGGGAAGAGCACACAAAAACATTGTTGAAATGTGCATGAATGTTAGTTAAAATTACCTGCTCCACCATTTTCTTCATACAGGGAGGTGAAGTCTAGAAGAGGAGGAATTTCTTTTGTAGTACTATCTTCCCAAGGGGTAGTACTTACATGATCATCTCCACTTTCTGTTAAATCATAACTCTCCAAGGGATGTAATTTCACTACTGGATGGGATAAAAATTCTTTATTATGATACAAATTATCTTCTTTATGGTGATGATGGTGATGGTGGTGGTGGTGGTGATGATGATGAGGTTTATTATGACCATGTAAGTGAGGATGATCCTTGAGTGTGTGATGAGTCACACTTTCATTAAAACGATTTCCAAACATGCCATGGAAAGTACACACTTTGAACTGTTCCAGGGTTTCATGGCTTTTGGTATATTCTTCAGTACAATGCACATTTTCTTTGTCACGATCAGAATTAAGAGAATCATCTTGTGGTGGCAATACAGAGAACACTTCAGGAAGACTGCAAGTTTTTTCCTCTTGTTCAGTATTTGTTTGGATTTTGCTGCACATGTTTAAACTACAGTGTGGAGGTCTAGATGGAGTACATCTAGTAAAAAGAGATATGTGTAACTGAAAAAAAAAAAAGAAGGAGAAGAGATTAACTCAGACACTAATAATTTTTCTTTGCTAAAATTAAAGAAAATCTGTAACATTTTACAGTTTCAAACTTCATAGTATTACAAAGAAATATATTTTAACATTCAAAACCAGTTGTAAATTTCTGAGAATTTAATTATATTATTACTTTTAATACCTGCAATGAGATATGATATAAAGAATATTCTAGACAAGAATTTGTTCGAACTTAAATCAGCTTTAAAATACTTATTTACCCACCACAAAAACAAACCTATGCACCTTCAAAACATCTGAAAGTTTTTTGATACGAAAATTTTTTAAGTACAAAAGGAAAATGTCTTTACTAAAACATTTTATAAAGCATAGCTAAGTCATTAATTATAAAATAAAATATGACTACAATTCTCAACTCCAGAACATCAGATTAAAAACTCTATTAAAGAAAGCATTTCCATTTTCAATTATCACTCAAGACTAAATAATAAGATCAACTCATCCCTGTTGCATTAATCTAATCAATTACAGATTCACAGTGTTTTTATTTGATTATTATTATTTTTTAAGAATGAAGTGTATATACTTATAATTAAGCCTTTCTTTATATCTTTTTTCTCTTAACAGTATTATTAAACCTACATTTGCTGCACATTTCATCATACATTCAATTATATTGCTACCAGTTAAATCTCTGTTCTTTTTAAATGTTTGGTTGTATCAAAAAACTTCTCACTTAATAGCTAATGTTGTGTTTTGTAACTAGAATATTGTGAATTACCCTTCTGAGATTTTAACGGTGATGATGGAATTTGAAATGTCTGTAATTAAAGATGTTTTTTAGAATTACGATATTCATAATGTTTAATTTCTATGAGTTATCAACTTACTGGAGCATGACATTCTGCACTTCTTTGAGCTTCATGAACATCAATTTCCTTATATTCTGAGAGTTGAATATTTGGGTCCTCACTACTCACAGATATATTTGAAGATCTAGAACTATCAATATCTCGACGTTTTGCTCGTGGTGAATGGGAGCTTAAATCAGCAATTTCTTTGGCATGAGTTGGTGTTACATAGACCTAAAGTACATGTACAAGAGTTTGCATTAAAATACTTATTTCACTCTTTTGTGTGTGTGTGTGTGAAAAAGTAGAATAGAAATGTCTATAAAAATACTCATGATATTACAATTTTATGATGATAAAAAAAATTCTGATAAATTTCTGTGTTCTCCTAAATTGGGCTATACAAAGGTATTGTATTGAGGCTGTATCATATAGTGTAAATCTATATTTTATCAAATATATATAATGAAACCAAAATATACATTATGAAATGCTACAAATACAAAAATTTACTCTATGAGTCTAAAAGTAAAATTACTGTTATTTAATCATATTTAGTAAGACAGAACTTTTCGTGTATGTGCAGATGAAACATTTACCAGTTGAAAATCACAAATAAATACTGAATCAACCAAACTATCTGGGTAAAAAAAAATAACTGAAATAGATGGTTATTTGAAAATTAACATGGTATCACTCTTAAAACTTGTTTTTCAGAAATATTGAAAATTTTCAAGCTTCTTAGGAAATGAAAACAATAAACTGCTTTTTTTGTACATATGGCACACCTGTTTCCAGTTGAATTTGTTTTGCACATTCCAAGTTGATTCTTGAAGATCAATTACTTCCTGACTACTTTGGTGGGTAATAGAGGTATAATATGTGTTTTGTGGTTCCTGGTTCAAGAGATTTTCTAAAGAGATTGATCTTGAGGTGCTGGGTTCTTCTTGTTCATTGTGCCTCCTTTTTTGAGACAAGTAAACTGATAAAAAAAGTTGAAAAAAGTACTTACTAAGGATGTAGCTTACACGAACACATCTTATAAATATACTAAATCCACTTATTGCAAACAAGTCGGTTTGGTTAAATTAAAAATATTACATATTTGGTAGGATTACGCTTAGTCCACCTAGGTTTTTATTATATATCAATAAATAATAACCTCAACATTTAACCTACCAGAATTTTTTTTAAATGCCTTACATCTCTTGCTATCTGACAATGGTCTTGCCAAACTTAAAGGAAACCTATTTACCAACTCAAGATCTTACAACAAATCTGTTTAAAACATTATTATTTAGCTACCCAAGAACTTATTATTTACAAAACCAGGAATCTTACCATCTGCTTCAGACATTATCATTTAGATATAGCCAAGACCTCTTATATAGGTGACCCAGTATCTTGTCATTTGCACAAGCTCTTATAATTGATGTATCAGGAACCTTACAATCAGATCTGCCTGTGAACTCAGTAATTTAGGTTACCAAAATTCTTACCATCTGCTTGAAGCATTATCATTTACTATAGCCAATAGCTATATCTAAATTACCTAAAATCTTGCCATATACTCATGATTCCATGAGGTTAATTACCAAAAGTCTTATCATCTGGCTAATATCATATTATCTATATTATTACCTTATTATTATCTATGCCTTGTGTTCATTAAGACTCGCAGTTTAGCCAACAATAGTACATTTTAGAAGGAAATATTAGCGTTAAGCAGTGTAAATACCGTACTTTAAAGATTTAACGTAATCCCTAAGATCGACATATCAAAAATATTTGTATTCTTAAACTTATATAGGTGAAAAAATAACAATACTGAATTCAGCCTAATGTTTTACCTCTTTGATAACAAGTTATTTTTAACTAAAGGCTACAAATTGAAAGCTATTCAACTTTATAATGACTAATTAGAAATGTTATGTTCATGTTAACGCTTTGAGGAAAATGTTAATTTATGTGTACTTAGAAGTTTTTTAAAATCAATTTGATAAATTTTATTCATAATAGCAATTATCTCTACTAACTAAAAAAGAAATCAGAAATTTCAGATGAAAAAAGTTGCAAATAAAAGAGTTCATTGTCAGAACTTACTTTTTTGTGAATCTTTGACTTGTTCATCAAATAAGTGCTCCACTACTCTTTGGTTAAAGGTCTTTTCCACAATCCTGAAACATTTTTATAAAATTAAGATTTCATCTACTAGTTTACTTCCAAATTCTGAAATTGTATATTATATATGGTCACAGTAAATGATAAAAAAGAAAAATCATATCAATTACATCAGTGTTTTATGAACATTTTATCTAGTCCTAAAGAAGCAAAGCACTATTATGTGAGGTTATCAATAAAGCTGGTATTAAATATCTCATTTTTATTTTAGTGCCCTTACTGTAATAACTCTGTTAACAAAGTACCAAATTTTTGCACAGTACAAGTTTTGCTTAAATTAACATTACAATGGCTGTAGTCAGGGATAGCTTTAGTAATTTGTAATTTCATGGTGCTAATGTTATGTATTAAAAACATATAATAAAATATTAATTCAAAAGGCTTTCTTTTGTCTTTTTTTTTCTTTCACTGGAACATAATCGAAGCATTTAAAAAATATTTTCAATTATTACCACACTATATTCCTATCATTACTAAAAAAAGTTTTATCAATTATTTATACATTATAAACAATCCATTTCAGCAACAGTAAGAATTAATTTTTCTATTCAGTTTCAAATGATGTTGAAACATAATAAAAAAATAAAACTGTTAATATTTCATATTTCAACTTGAGCAAGAAACAGTGTGGTTTTCTTGGCTTTAATATAAACAGTATATATATTTAATGACTGTTTACACATCTATTAAACTCCAAATCACAGGATGTGAATAGGTTCAAGTAAAATGACATGTTCAAGAAATTGTTTCTTTTTCCTTTTCATAGAAAAATCTATTTTATGTTCACCTTCTAAGCTATTTTCATAGATATATTATAAAATATCATATATTTTTTGTTGATTTATTTCTCTAGCTCTGTGTTATTTTAATTTTTAGCTGTGAGAAATAAATGATTTGACAAGGTCTATTTTGAAATGTATACAAATTAAAATTATTGAGGAAAATGTTAATGATTTGTTTATCATTAAATTAATATCTGTCTCCTATTAAGTAGTGTTTCTCTTTCTCACATGATTTTTTATTTGTTCACAGTTAAACCAGAGGCTGTATTTACCTTCTTATCTGCAATCAATTGTCTGTATTTATTAAGTAATACATCCATGTACCTTACTACAGTAGTTAAACCAGAGGCTGTATTTACCTTCTTATCTGCAATCAATTGTCTGTATTTATTAAGTAATACATCCATGTACCTTACTACAGTAGTTAAACCAGAGGCTGTATTTACCTTCTTATCTGCAATCAATTGTCTGTATTTATTAACTAATACATCCATGTACCTTACTACAGTAGTATAAGCTTTAAAAAAGTAAAATATCTTCCTTATCTATTAACTAATAATTTAAACAGGATACATTTAGCTTACCTATCTATAGTTAAAGAAGGGACTTGTCTTTGTTGATTAAAATATTTTCTTAATGGAGGTATAATAACAGAGAGTGGCTCAATAGACACAGAAGTTGGAACAAAGGCTATCTGTAAACAAAAAAAAACAGATTTTAGACTTCCATGCATGGCAATATAAAAAAAATGATTTCAAGTTTAATGTTTTGATTTTAAGTAATATTTAATGTTACATAAGTTGTATTTTCTGAATATATATATAATGTCTTAGTACTTAAGTTTGTTCTACACCCATAGTCTTGAAATTTCAAATGAAAAAAAAAATGTTTTTGTGTTATATAGAAGATATTTAAAAGCCTAAATATTAAGTCCCTCAACTACTAAAGCAATGTACTCCTAAATAAATGTGTGCTTAACTTCATTAAAAGTGGGAACAGGGAAGAAGAAACTGGTAAGACAACAAAGTAAGAAAATTTTTGGCTAAATATGTATGTACTAATGATAATGTTTTTAGTATAAATATACCTCAAGTTTTTCTGCCTTCAATGGAAATGTGAGTTTAGAGTTTTGTTCGTTTAATAGTTGTTCATATTTCTGCCTAGTTTCTTTCATGATGGGAAAATCAACTTCAGAATAATCCTCTTCAAATATTGCATAGTAGTCAGTAATAAAATATCCAATGACTTGATTAATTACTGACTGATATTTTAGTCTCCTCACACCATCTGAAAATCTGTAAATAGCAAATTGTAAAGTTGCATTTATTTCTAATAAACTTGAGCTTTTCAGCATTGATTATGAAGTAATACCTTCATAGTCTGTTAAAAAAGTATTCAAATAAACTGTTTGAAAGTTTCAACTTATACATACTATCTGATATCAATAAAATAACAATTAAGACATAAAACTTCTTTCTGTACCATTGAGAGACATTCAATGCATAATTTATGATAATTAGTACAATTCCTTCTATCATTACTAAAAATAATATTTTTTGTAATTTACTTTAAACTCAAAAGGTAAAAGATCATACCATAAATATTTTTTTTACATATAATACAAGAACATGAAATAGCTTAACACAATGCAAGAAATACATGGATAAGTTCCAAAACTTAAATTTTTAAAAGCTTTGTTATAGTTTCTCTTAATCTAACTAATTTTTAAGAGAATAAAACTATGTCCACATATACAGGAACAGACCTAAATAAGTTGGGTCCAAAAACAAAACTTAGAGCATATGGTCCCATTTTGTTTTGATCTTTATGACTAGCAACTTCCTGTAAAAACTGTGAGAGATACTTCAAGAGGTGGAAGTTTTGAGGAGGCATCTTCTCCAACAAACATTTCAACATTCTCGAACACTCTTCTCGATTACTACCATAGCCTATGAGGAGACCAATTAAAACATTTTTGAAAATAGGCTCTCATAAAAGGTTGCTATGGCTGTTAACATCTAAAAGATCTATCACCACATAGCAACCGCATTATCTCTATTCTCTAAGATTATCAATCACTCATTGACATCATGAAAGGCTCTTGTCAAATCCTAAGATCAATGTCTGATAACCTTTGGTTCTAAGCCATCATGAACTTTCCTTATCTCCATGAAAAAAAAAATATATACATTCTGCTGGGAAATATATACAAACAGAAAAGATTGACAGATGTCAGAAATGGCATGGACTTATTATCGAAAGTTGTGCACTTAGAAGTATAACTATGGTTTATCATTGCATATCTATTTTAATATATATATCAAATAAATCTTGAATAAACCACAGTTTCTACATTTATATCTTACCATCTATAGACAAAAAAAAATTATAATCATCCATCTCATTTAAAAAGGGTAAATTAAAATCATTTAATTCATGAAAGAAATTAATAACACTAACATACTAACACTTCATGAGAGATTCCTCAGATTACTTTAATGTTTGAAATTTTATGAACCCTGAAAAATATTACAGCACATACCAATTTAACTCTATAATTATATTTTTTAAGGGATTTTGTTTGCTTTAGATTAAGTTGCTACAAAATACATGCGATATATGTAAAAGAGTCAGGAGAAATTAATCCAAAATATGTCAAATATACTATTATAAACACAAGGAAATGGCTGAAAGGGGGATAGTTTTTTTCTATTATATTTTCATATTAATATGTTTATTGTGGTATTTATTCTAGGTCACCATTTTTTATAGTTTTTGATTAGTATATATTCTATCAACAAAATCATTCAATTCTAAACACTGTAAGTACTTATTTCATGAGATTCATGGCTTGGTCTTTAATGGAATGTTAAAAAAAAATTCAGAATGTAGCTAACACCATTTCCATTGCTTTTTACCAGTGGTTTCCAAACTATTTTCACTGATGAGACCCTAATCCATTCACCTTGAGTTGTGTGACACCCCTGCTGCCAAATGCAATATTTTTTTTGTAGTTTTTTTTTAACTGTTTTTAATTATTCTTTGTTTGGTGTAACACTTGTGATACCCTAACAACTTGCCACAACATGCAGTTTGGAAAACACTGCTTTACACTTTACTTATTCATAACAATCCTTGCTGCAGGTACCTTTAATTTGTGTGATAAAGAAAACATGACTGAAGCTAGTTCAAATATTTTAGACTTAAGATTTGCTTAATTAATTTCTTAAGTTCAAAATTAAAGTTTTTATGCTTTTTTCTTTTAAATTTACTTAAATGATTGATAATACAAAAAAACTAACATAATATTGTTATTAAGATATAAATGTATAATTAGAAATGAATATTAAGTCTTTCCCATAAAATAAGAAAGACATTACCTCTTACTGAATTAAGAAATTCAGTGCATAGTGAAAAAGGTACAACTGGTTCTGGAAGTTCCCAAAGGAAAAGCTTCAGTAAACTGGCAGCAGAGGGCACATCCCCTTCTGTTTCTAATGAAGCATCACCAGTCTGGTCAAAAGCAATTTTCAGTTTGTCTATTAAGCAGGCATTCCCACATTTTCTAAAAATACCTTCATGTTTCAGGCCTGTTAAAAGACAGACAATAAAATTTTATTATGGAAAACAAATTTAACATTTAAATCATCATAACATTAGTTATTTATAAAACTGAATTACTGTTTGTTCTTTTTTCTATTGAAATATAATAGTTTCCACTTTGTAGGTAAAAAATACACAGACTGGAATTACATTCAAGAATATAAATAATGGCCTTTAAATTACACCAAGAAATTATACAGACTTCTAAGTAAACTTACCATTTTCAATAATGTATTGACATAATCTGTTGATCACAAAAGGTACTGAGCTTTGAGAAGAGTTATTTTCTGTCAAAACCTCTAGAGGAACTCCAAAAGTTTTCATTTGACAAGATGATAGTCTTTTTTTCGAGAAAGAAGAACTAAGAAGGTTCCTTAACCAATCAAAGTGACTTTCATCACCATCTTCATGATGTTGCTGTTAAAAAACATACAATAATAGATTCAAGATAAATAACTTTGATATTACTAAAGATCATCCCATTAAACATGAGAAAGTGTTATGGTAAGATACAACACTTTTATAAGAAAGATTTCAGTCAGATTGGGGGGGAGGGGGGGAACAAATAGAATAGGCAAGCTCCCACAGTCAAATTCGATACATTTAATATTTGTAAGGTTAGTTTAAGCCGTACTGCAGACTTGCAGCTATATATATGCTTCATAATAGTAAATTCTGGTTGGCCTCAACCATGCTGTCTCATGGGATGTCTGCATCAGTCTCTTTGAAAACCTGTTGCTGGTATTACTGAGAAATGGCAACAGGTTGACCCTGATCACAATGTTTTAGGACTCGGAGGATGTCAGCAAGACCTGATGACTTTGATGACCTGAGTGAGAATTTCTCTGTCCAATATCCAAGAAGCCGCCATGGTAGCAATGTTTTTCAATATTTAGCTACATGGTAGATAATTAGAGATCTTAAGTAAAGCTGGCAACTTTTATTAAAATTTAAAATTAGGTGTAATAATTAGTGTGAAATTGTGAAGTGAATAAAAACTTGTAAGTTCATATTCATATAGTGAATGAACAAATAAAGAATTATGTTTCTCATATTCCATGAATGCCCATGTTTTCAGTCCTGTTTAACATATTTTTAAACTTTGAAATTGCAGCTAAGTTACTTCTTTCTTTGATTAATGCCTTTATAAAGCATTATTTCTTGGTGCATATAGTTGAATTATCATAGTGTTTGCATGTTGCGATTGAAATCTAGCTGTTATTATTCTCACAGACACAGGTTCCCAGCATTCACAACTTCTTTCTTCATCAATATTCCTACACTGTAATCATGTCTTTCACTCCTCCCAGAGTATATGAATGTTTTTTATTTCATACTAATTTTGTCACTGCCTGTCCATCTTGTTTCACAAAGTTGTCAAAGTAGGTGGTACTTCTGGCATGGATGATTAGATTTTTTATGCAGGAGATATCCTTGCAGCTTCGATCAATTGCTGTAATACAGACATCAATTTTCTCATGTCTATTGTCTCCTCGGCACACCAGCTGGAAAGCATTATTGTTCTTGACGATTTCTGTAGTAGTTAGTAGTGAGTGTTTTACGGAGAGAGGTTACTAGCCTCTCACCCAACCTTCCTCCTTTATCCGGGCTGAGAACCAGCAGTGCTGCAAAGATATTGACCCAGGCAGATGAAACTGAAGAAGGACTGCAAGAATGCACAAAGTTGAAGTGAAAAGCCAAAAAAGGTGGGTCTAAGATACAATGTGAAAAAATGCAATATAAAGTCAACTGAGAATGGAAAGCCTAATATGATATGTAATGGAGAAACAATAGAGCAAGTTATGAGTTTCACCTACCTTTGAAGTAGAATATGGAGAGATGGAGATAGCCATGAAGGAGTGATCACCAGAATTGGTAAATCTAATGCCGCATTTGGGAAACTCAGAAATCTGCTCAACAATAGAAATATGAACATCAAAATGAGAGTTAGACTCTATAATTGTCTTGTTATGCCTGTCCTGTTGTATGGCAGACATACAAAAAAGACAAAAAGTTAAATGCATTCCATATGAACAGCCTGCTTCTTGAATGTTGAAATTATCATGGAAGAATAAAGTATCAAATATTGAGGCACTGAAATGCACAGAAGAATGTGACCTGATGGATTTAGTTAGACAAAGAAGAATGAGATGGATGGGTCACATCATAAGAATGGATGACACAAGAATTGTGAAGCAAGTGATGAATTGGAACGTTGAAGTAGAAAGAGAGGACGACCAAAGCTCACATGGAAAAAATGTATTGAGAAAGACATCAGCGAAAGAACTGTCACATGGGAAGAAATGAAAAAGATATCACTGGATGGAAGAAAGTATCATCAATGGATGACCCAATGTATCAGGAGACACAGGATGGACTAAGTGCTAGGTAAGTAAGTGTGCCTTCATCAAAGATTAAACATTTAATTATTATAACTAATATTCTAAACTAAAATTTACAACATATCTCATTTCCTAAGCTATTAAAGACAAATATTAATTAGAAAATTGATAAGTGTTTATTAGATATAATATAGAAACAAAGAATATAACATCTAACTTACAAATGTTAGCAACTGATTTTGTATACAAACAAATTTATATTCAAAAATCTGCAGTTTAAGTTTTTACTAAACATCGATAAAGACGTTATTTGTATTCATTAAACTTCTTGTCCTTGTTTAAAAGTTAAAATAAGAACATGAGCATGATAAGCATAAGATTTGTTCATCATTTAACAATCCTGGTGCAATGCATCAATGTATGAACACTGATCTAAAATGTTAGTAGTAGTTATAGAAGCACATAAGGGCTTTAAAAAATTATAGCTGACTAATATTTTCTCTTTAGCTCACTTGATATGGCTACTTATTGATAAATAAGTGAACAGCTAGCCAACATAAATTGTAAGTTGCATTTAGTTTCATGAGACTATAAATTTCTAACAAGACAGTAGAAAGTTTTGTTACAATATATCCATATTGACTAAAAGATTGTGTATTGTGATTTTTTTTTATTCAACTTAACTTCTACAATTCCAAACATAAATCATAATTATTTGAAGCTGAAAGTCTCAATCTGATCCTTCATTTTTACCAATCAGTCAGAAAATGAGTTGTCATTCACAGTGCCTTTAGAATTAAGTGAGAGCAATTAAAATCTAATCACCTTTTACTATACTTAACCCTAAGAACCATAAATTCATACCAAGTATTTTGCAATTACACATTTTAGATGACATACAGTAAGATAAAAACAAAGAAAATACAAAGAACTTTCATCTTTTATGTGAGAGATTATAACAGCTATTAAAATCAAAACACAAAATATACAAATTATAATATTTTATGTGCATTATGAACAGCATACTACATTTATTAAATAAGTTTTATGATGGTTTACATTAAAGCAAGATATTAGTTTGTACATTTCTATCTCAAACTGTACATGTACACACTCATGCAAAACCCAGAAAGCTAGATAAAAAATGACAAATGAAATGATTATTTAACAGTCTTAGGATAGAAACAATCAACAGACATGAGTTGAAAAAAACTTACAATTAAAAATCTAGTCATTTCATAGAAAAACAGAAAAATTTGCAAGTATGATATTTATTTACACCAAATATAAATGAATACATGTGAAAGAAGAAAAAAATATTCAAGAAAAATTATACCTGTTTGTGTTTTGTCATATTTGTATTTTCTGTACTCCCAAAAATAGCAGGCCTTCGCATGTTTTCAGAGTACAGAACAACTTCAGTTCCCTCAATGCGGCATGGACGTGGAACCCTATATTAAACAACAAACATTACAGCAAAAATTAACAAAAGCAACAATGGTACACCATAACAATAAAACCTTCGTTATAAAAGGTCATCTGAATTTAAATATTCTTGTAAAATATGCTTTTATAAATATGAATGGGAGGAAACACTGTTTATTCCTCAAAGACATTTGAAACACACAATACTTGTTCTTCATAACTGTTCATAAAAATCTAATGTACAACTTTAGGCTAATATGTACTGAATAACCTGGCTAATTCATAAACAGGTTAACAAAAACAAGTAAAATAGCAAAAACAGAAGCGAGTGAAGAAACTCATATACACAAATAGAACATAAATACAAGAAATGTTCATAAGTAAAATTGATTAATTTACCTATGAAAGTAAAAGGTGACATAGTAGATGACTGTAACTTCAATTTATTGAAGATGTACAAAGAATCTGATAAACCTACTAAATTTCCTTTACTCATTCAACGGCCCATGAAAGAAATCTAAATTTCTACAATTGTAAAATGTTCAAAAGCATGTACTGTTTGATGTATATATGTAAATTTGTAGCTTTGATAACTAGATGAATTACCATAAACTAAACAACAGATAAAATAAATAAAAAGCAAAACATATATATATATATATATAATTTGAGCAAATATGCTTTATTGTCTTGTAGTAAAGTACTTTACAGTAAGAAACCTTTTTAAAATGAGAGAGCCCCTCAGTGGCAAAGTAGTATGTCTGCAGACTTATACCATTAGAAAGAGGTTTTGATATTCGTGGTGGGCAGAGCACAGATAGCCCATTGTGTAGCTTTGTGCTTAACTACAAACAAACAATAAAATAGAAAACAAGAAAAGGTAAATACTAATATACGTATATATATATATATATCACAGGCAATAGAAATAATCTTAGTAATAAACTTATTGAATAATAAAAATTATTAACAAAACATACTCTGATGAATTGATAAAATGACTTAATATTTGTTGTAATGATTCATTTTGAAGGTTTCTGCAAATGAAATTACAATGCAACATGTCTTTGTGGTACTTTGCAATAATTAGTAGGATCAGGAGGAAGAACAGTGAAATATAAATTACCTTTAGATACCTGTTTATATACTACTGCTAATGACAACTTTTAAGCTAAACAATTTTAATACAAAAACCCTAATCACTTTGTTTTGAAGGACTATTTATATATTTCAAAATGATTTTAATAAAGATTCAGATATTAAAACAAAAACCTAAATACATAAACCAACATTTACATTGTAATATATAATTTTACAGATAATTTAGTTTCTATCTAAAAGGCCATGGAACATTCACCTAAAATCCACATGCTCCATTTTATTTATGAGTAATTATTTTTTAAAGAAAACCAGCCATTGTACCTTAAGATGTATCTAAAACACATATAAATAACTATAAATTTTTTATTTTTTATTTTGTATATTTAAGTCAATCTCTGACTAGTTTTTATAAAATTATGTTAATTTTACTATCAGCCACACAATGTTTATTAAATAATCTTTCAAAAACAGAAATACTTGTATAGATATATATGTGCATTTCTGCCTTTTGAAATTTAGGCAGTGTATATTTATCACAGAACCATTCCTCTTCTCCATCAGAAAAAATCTCATCCATAGCTGAAAGGATGTTAGGAAACTCCATTCCCCATGACATAATACAATAACACATTTTCAGTAAAGTTTGAGTTCTTTCTGATGACAATGCACACCAATAACCTCAATTACTTATAACTACACAATTTTAATAAATACACAGACCATTTTTTTGTAGATTTGGATTTGACCTGATAACAAAATCCCCTTTCTTCATCATCTAATACTCAAGAAAATCGAAATTTTCTTTCAAAGTTCACATGAAATAAATAAATCATATAGAAATACCATTAAATTTTTCACATATTAAGACAGCATTAATTGTCTTTTCATAAACTACTGGTATCTTTTTGCCAATACATGCAATGCATTAATTATCACTAAAATGCCACCACACTGTTTTTTTTTAAAAAAATTAATAATAATCCATGTACTGTTTGTTAAGACATTTTTGTACAGTTCAGCATATTAAAAAGTATTATTAATATTTAAAAATTTGATTTTAAACTAACTCTATATCTCTTACACTACAATATAATTTGTAATATAACATTAAAGGACAACAAGGGACATTCTGAACCATCTAGGTTGTTTCATCTACTAAAGTAAACACCAAAAAACTTAAAACCAGCCTTTATCATTCTAATATTTATCAAGCTTTCCCTTAAATTAACTACATCTACCTCATCTGAAAGCAACCCATCCTGTTAGAGAAAAAAAACTGTATTAGCTGAAGATGACTTCTACTCTGCCAAAATTTATTTTTGTGTCCCCTAGTCATACAATTTTAGCCACTGAATATGAAAAAAAAAAGATGATGCATCAACATGATCAATTCCCTTAATAATCTTAAATACCTCAATTAGATCCTCTTTAAATCTAAAATTCGGTCTTCAAGAGAAAATAAGTTCAGAGATCGTAACCTAACCTTCCTCTTATGACAACCTTTCCATCCCAAGTATCAACCTAGTAGCCCTCCTCTGAACACTATTCAGTATCCATACTGAGCACAATACTCCAAAAATGGCTTAACCAATAACCTATACTATGAAAATATTACCTCTTTATACTCGTGTTCAGTATTTCTGTAGATACAACCTAAATTCTTATTTTCTCTGCTACTAGCAACATCACATTGTTTGGAAGGCTCAAGAGACTGATCAACTACAACAACAAGATCTTTTTTTTCATTAACACTGTTAAGGTTACTCCCATCAAAGTTAAACTGATAATTAAAGCTGCAATATTCAATATGCATTACCTTACATTTATTATAACTAAAAGCTATCTGCCATATATTTATCAAACTCACCAAATATTCCAAATTCATTTGTAGTGTCTTCCTCTTCATACGCAGCAACACCATTTAATATCATTGGCAAATTTAAATAATCTATTAACCATTCCTTCATTTATGTCCTTAATGTAAATCAAAAAGAGTAAAGGTCCTAACACAGAACCCCAGGGTACCCCCCCAACCTACAAAGATAATTTTTTAAAAAGCCTTTTATGTGGCACCTTGTCAAATGCCGACTGAAAATCCAGATACACCAAATCTATAACCTTACCCTAATCTACATAAGCGGTAACCTTTTCAAAGAATGTTAAAATATTTGTAAGGCATGCTAACTATCCAATGAACTTTTACTTTTGTTAAATGACTTTGCAAAGCATCTTTTATCAGACTTTCAAAAACTTTTCCCACCATTGATGTAATATTAATATGCTTATAATTACTGGGACAATTTTTATTTTCTCCTTTGAAAGGAGGAGTAACATTAGCCAATTTCCAATCTTTTGTCACCTGCCCTTTATTCAAGACCTTAGAAAAATAAAGCAGGTAGCTCACATACCCAATCCTTAACAATCCATTATATGACCCAGGAGGTTTATCATTCTCAAAACTTCCCAATATTTTCCTAGCAAGCTCAGAACTAAAGTGATCATTTTGTTCAATCTTTTTTCCATCTAGCATCTGTTCAGGTTGAGGAATATTGCTTAAATCTTTTGTAAAAACTGAAGAAACAGTATAATTTAATAACAGCCATCTTAATCTCCTTATATTTAGAACCATCCTGTTCTGTAACAAGTTCCAAGTAAAAACTTTCTTCCCTTATACCAATAACAGAAATTCAAACAAATTCAACATCATTGCTATTAATTTTGATATACTCAAGTTGAACATGCTGGAATGTATATTTTACATATATAACCACTCCTCTCCCTCATTTTTTTGTATTCTATTGAACAAGCTATAGCCCTGTCTTTCAAAACATTCCTGTACTTAAAATTATTTACATTCACAAGTTTCGGTTATTCCCATATTAATATATATATTATGACTGACTGTCATCAAATTCAAACTACATACAAATTCAAAGTCTACTGCAATAACTGTATTTAGTTTTGAAACGAAATAATAATTTAAATCAGATATATTTTCCCAATGTGCTAAAACTAGGTATATTTTTATTTGATTAGTATTCTTTTTTTTTTAACGAACCTTTACAATAATTTAAGTAAATAAGGTTTTCAACACAGTCCCTAAGTCATTTTCAATCACAGAATTACTCCTCGATCATTACATTTAACATTTCTAATGCGTAAATATTTATACTAATATTCAATTTCTAGTGGTACCATTATAAAAATCAAACAATAAATCACTGCAACAGCATAAAGTCTCACACAATATATTAATCTTAACATGAAATGATGAATGTAAGTTTAAAATTAGATATATCATCTCGACAACACTCGCCGTCTGCACCGATAACAGCGATAATAGTATTGTGTGTTAACACATGAAACTCGTTAATTAAGCGTCCGAATATAAACATACACTCAACAGGAAAGCTTTGTACTCAGGGGTTATCTCTTCGAGTTACATATTTTTATTTATAAGTATTATATTTCACCATTAAATAAAAAATATACTGACAAAATGAAAATAAATAAACAAATACTGATAATAACATACATTGTTATAAAAGCTTGCTTATTTTGAAGTCTTTAGTATCTTAAGTAGCGTACGTGATATTATGAACGTCCGCTATGACTCCTGTCCATAAATCCAAACGATAACTCTGGCTAAGCTTCGTCGAAAGTTTTTCTTTTCCAAGTTCCAGCTCTACTAAACCTCTAAGAGACTTAAGTTATGCTGGTGGAAATAGTTTCCATTCAAGCCAGATATTTCTATACGTTGAAAACAACACACAGTTTTGGTTGTAAATACGTTTTCTTATACGTTCCTTGCAACCCTGGCTGATGAAATCTTGTAAGTTGTACTAACGTTACTAATCATAAGGTAATTAAGAATTGAACTTCCCAATACCAATATCACAAAAATACATTTATACGACTATATATTAATAAAATTAAGCTATCCAGAACCACTGGATGCCTTGGTCATTTCAGTATTCCTGATATAACACAAATGTATATCTTCTGACACATTTTTCGTTCATTATATTAAACTTTGTTTCTCTGGAGCCTATATGCTCTCGTAATAAACTCACGTAATCCTGCTCAAATAATATTATCAACTAACTAATCTATACACATTGATTCTTCACATATAATGTAAACGTCATTGCCACCGTGTACAGTGATTGGTCGATTCCTCTTTCGTATTTCAATGTAAATACTTGTGCCGAATGACCTCGATTAAGCCTTGTTTATATTGTGACGGAAATTACGTGACGAAGAGCACATGCGCATTCGCAGTCATTAAAGTCACGTCGACCTCCCAGGGTTGTTTACGAGTACTGGTATGATGCCAGTTTTCTTTATGAGCTTGTTGGACAAACCTATGAGATTGCTGAGTTTTGTCCCGTACATTTCTTTGAGGCAGTATTCACCCTTAATGATGTTAATGCTCACTAATCAACCAGTTTTCTCTTTACAAAATTTTAAAACATCGTTATTGTTTCATTTCCTGTAAACAGTGATTCCTACTGTACAAAATCTGTCATTTCGCATTTAGTAACATACGTCCATTTGAAAAATTTATTTATTGACAATTACAATATATATTCAATTATAAGGCTACGATGCTTTTTTAAACCCAAAAAATATTGCTGGAGGTTATCGTGTTAAATTCTTTTTTGTTTTTAATCTTAGTGAAAGAAGAAGAGTATACACGCGTCTTGGTCTGTTACATATTCATAAACTGGTTAAATTAATAAGGTATGTATGTATATGTAATGTGATTTTAAAGATCAGTAATGCTAATAATAACCGTGTTTGTTTGTTTGAAGTTAAGCACAAAGCTACAGAATGGGCTATCTGTGCTCTGCCCACCACGGGTATCGAAACGCAGTTTCTAGCGTTATAAGTCCGCAGACATGCCGCTGTGCCACTGGGAGGCGTAATAATTGTGAGCATTCCAAAAGTTATGTGTAAAGTCCAAAGTGATACACGGTAGAAGAGGACATGTTATATCACACTATTAACAATTTGTTTATTTTAAACGTACTTGTAAAAATTATCGCAGTTTTTAATGTGTAGGATTTGCTTATTTCACAGTCTTCTTTTAAACACATTTCTAAAGAAAACTGCGTTTACAGAAATGTGTAACAATATATTTATTTATATATACAATGCTCACAGGAAAAATATACTAAATGTAAAAGTTAAATGAGTGTATTATATAATTTGGTACATCAGTTTAAGTATATTACCATATTTTTGATTTTCTGTTTTCATCTAACTTAATATCAACTTAAAAGAGACCGCTGTTATTGTTTCTTACATATAATAGCCACCACTCACGTATGGAAAGCGTGAAAAGTCAATATGCACATGACACTGCTATGAGCAAAAGTCACTCCATACCGCAATGACCTCCTACAAAGGAATTACACACATCCCTGGATGGTAACGAAAAGAAAGAAAGAAAAAAAAACAGTTCCTGAAAACAGGAAATACTGTTAGATTACATCCCCTATCCCCAAAATAAGTATGATTGAACAGTATACCATGCCAATCAGACTAACCTTATGTTATCGTAGAAGATACACTTAGAGCACAAAGGTTGATATAACAAACTCGGTTCACTTAGTTGACCTGTATTACAACCAGTAGAACACACTTTTCCTTCTTGCTCTCTATCATACTATTACCAACACTCTGAGTTTCTGTCAATGGTCCACTATCTTCATCAAATTCTCGTCTATAATAGTAAACAGATATTTACACCATGACTAATAGAAATCCTTAATACATCATATAGCACCTACATAAAAATTTAGAACAAATATCTGAATATACCTGATATTTCATATCATCACATTCCCATTGCTCCTTTCTTATCTCAGGATCTTCTAAATTACAAGGTCATTATTTGCAATAACTTTTTTCTCAGATTATGTGTACGACCCCATGTTACCAACACAAAGGGTAACATAAAGGTTCCAGAAGCAACTTACAAATCAAAATAAAATAAAATAAACTCCAAATTATAACACAAAAATAAAGATTTACTTCAAAATTATTATATAATATGGAGCATCTGATGAACAGCAAGGTCAAATAAGGTTATGGAAGCTCCAGTATCCACTACAATTCAACCCTTTATCCATGTATTATTTTAAACACATATTATGTGAGACCAAGCCCATGATTTTCCAAACTAGCTTCCATTGTATTATGTTCAAGCTAGTTGGAGCCGTATCTGATCATTCATCTTCCTATGTATCTATTGTGGTTTCTGCCTGAGTGATATTTATACCTGATAGCTCTGGGTTGTAAAGATACAAACATCCCAATAACAAGTAACCAGGTAAGCTACAGTAGAAGCAGGTCCCCTCCCCCTCCTCATTCTAGTTGCTTTCAAAAACATAAGTTTCGTTGCATGAATAATATAGCCATGGCGACTGGGATCTGAGCCCTATTGCCCTATCTGAAATCATGGTGGATGCGTCATGATGCTTTGGAATATTTTTCGCACTGAACATTTCTAACAAGCCTTGAGGGACGTCATGGACCTTAGGGGTAGTTTGGAGCTTAGTCTGAACTCCAGTTCCCATTGTTGCAGGTTTCTTTCAGTGCTTCAATGTGATCACTCTAAATTACATCATCACAGAAACTGCCTCCATTAAAAATGATATGTCTCTGAAACTCATGTAATGATGCATGTACTCATTCAGTATTTATCAACGAGTATCTCATTACAATTACCGGGGGATATGCTCTGGAATGCTTTCCCATGCAGCCTACTTAAATCATCAGTGTTAGTGGTCGGTTACCAAGATGCCCTCACCTTTGACCTTAGCCCTGTGGATTACTCAATTTTCCATAGGATTTAATCTTTGTTGCAACTCATTAACAACTTAATCCCATTCACTTAGTCACCCCGCATCCAAATTCTCTAGTGCACAAGCACTAAACCAATTAACCTCATCACCAAGTTTTGCAATGCCTGTCCATGAGTCTGTCCATTCCAAGCAATAACTTGTTTGAAATGTATAACAAATGGTTCATGTACTTTTTAACTACTCCCGTAAACATCTGTGTTATTTCGTCAATAAAACTAACCAACCATGATGTATACAGGTATTTGTTACCAAGGGTACCTGAGACACCCTAGTAGTTCTTGAGATTTTAAGGATGCTCATTACTACCATGAACAGTTTTTACCACTCTATTGTTCTGCATGTGGTAGTCAACCAGCACATTCTACATAATAGTCTATCAACTTCTTATTTTGGAGAACAGGTGAAAGCTCTTAGTCTAGGGAAGTGACTCCCCTTGTCCTTACCACATTCTCCAACTGTGTCCTCTCTTCACCTACAGCTTCCTACTCTTCACTGTAACTTCTAGGGATTCAGAAAGAGCGTCCTTCTATGATCACGATTTACAAATATTTCAGCACCAGAAAGTGAATTGGAAACAGAATCATGTTCAAAATAATATCGCCAATGAACAAATCATTTTGTTACGACACCACAATATAGCTTGGTGGCTTAATTTGAAGTATTCAGGTTTATTATTGTTAAATACACACAAGTTGAAGGTTTTGAAAATTGGATGCAGAGACTTTTTTATTAAAGAGGCCAACATCTGCAGGCGAATTCAACATGTCTCCGCCACACAATCCAAACATCACTAATTTTGACATTAGAAAAATCGAAAACTCTCTATATCACTGCTTGGGACCTGCAAGAAGATATCTTTGTACAAAATTCTATGTAAGTTGGGTGACATACACGTGAAAAGTTCATGAAAACCTCAAATTGTACTTTCCTCGCTGAAAAATTGAGTAAAAGACAAAAATTCCAAAATTATCTACATCTCTGTTTGGGACCTGTAAAAAAGTATCTTTGTAGCAAATCTCATGTAAATTGGCCCAAATAGGGGGAAGTAATTGTCAAAACCCCATAAAATTATGATTTTTGTTGCATCTTGACCCATATAATTAATAAAAATTGACAAGTCCAGCATTTTTGTTTGTCAATGTATGGGGCTTGTAGAAAAGTATCTTTGTACCAAATCCCATGTTAATTGGTCAAAATACGGCCAAGTAATTGACTAAAACCCCTCAAATTATGCTTTTTATGCTCTGACACTCCTAAAAATAGTCGAAATGGGCAAGTCCACCTTTTTTTCAATGTGTTGGGCTCATGAATATTTATACTTATTCCAGCCCCCCAGTGGCACAGTGGTATGCCTGCTGACCTACAATGCTAGAAACCGGGTTTTGATACCCGTGGTTTGCATAGCACAGATAGCCCATTGTGTAGCTTTGTGCATAATCACAAACAAACAAATATTTATTCCAATTTTCATCTTGACTGAAGAGGAGCCCAAAATATATATTTTTGGTTTGTTTGACCTTTCATCACATAAACTCCTTAAAAAAGGCCTAAATAAAAAAATGAAAAAGTGTCTGGGCACATTGGACCAAGGTATAACCTTACCGAGTTCCAAGTCAATCAGCCGAGAAATGAAAGAATGGTGGTCGATTGAAAAATGTTCGGAAGAAGAACAAACAACAGAAAAACAACATGCCTCTTTGTACAAATAAGACAAAATATTTATTCATATAATTTAAATATGTAACTCACTAATTAAGTTTCTGATTCAGTAGTAACGCCTACAACTGGCAACTGGGGTAGAAAGAAAATTTATCCATGTCACTGCAGGATTAGAAACAGGACCCAGAATATGATACATAGTCATTTAGATAACCTTCTATTAAGCCATACAAGAGCCTAATGCAATACTATACAATTCTTAGCTTATCTACATCACTAATCATCCTAATAAATATATTCAAATGATCTAGATAAATGCCCGACTTATGCTAATTTGCATTATTCCTTCCAATGAGTATAATCTCCCCCCTGAAAGAGAATGTGATATAGAAAGAGGTTCTAACAGTCAGAAAGTCTAATCAACATTCAAGCCAGCCAAAGTGTTGGCTATACAAGACTGTTCAGTGTAATAATATTATTCAGTTTATTTAGTGATTAAATATTTAATGATTATTTAGTTTCATAACAAGAGTGTTAAAAGTAATTATTGTTACGACAGCGGAAGTCAGGCGACGTTTGGCGCATGCGCGCTGGAGTTTCTTGAAGGATCGTGACTTAGCGGGCAACCTCACGAATGTCCCAGTGTTTGCTAGACGCCCTCTTTTTTAGTATATAAGCCGGAGATAGGTTGAAGAGAAATAATTGATAACTGAATCAAACGAGCAGTAGGTACCGTAAGTAAAGTGTGTGAATCACTGTGATTTATAGCGTGTGTTATAAGGTTGTTAAGTTAAAGTGACTGTGGAAATTCTGTGTATTGCAAAGTTGTATCGAGAAAG